GTAGCGGATTATTATGTACATGTATCGTCAATTTAATGTTGACATATCTGGCTAAATAACATGCCTGTTTATGACATTACCCAGTTTAAGTTAAGGACTAACATAACTACGAGCTAGAGAGAATCTCGGACGGGACCGGACGGGACCGGACGGGAGCGAGCGGAGCTTCTTTTATTTACTTTTTTTTCTCCGTCACCGGTGGCAGCGACCGACGTGTTTTAAAAGTGAATTTAGTCTTTAAGTGAGCTTTAACAGCATGATATACAAATAAAACAAGAGCAAAACAAATCTTGCCCTTGACTGTAACCGGACACCTGTTTTTATTTTACCATTAATTGAAATACTAAACCTCACTTGTAAACAATGAAAGTCCGGGGGGGACAGTGAAGAGAAGTTACAATGCAGTTAACACCACCTTTTATTATGAAATACTTGTACTTGAGTAGGCAGGCCTGTTTCCATTGTAAGGTACTTTAATACACTATAATTGAGAGGAAATTATTAAATAGTTAGTATGAAGGTCGAGTTTTTCATACAAAATATAGGCTATTTATACATTTCGATTGATTGATTACATTTAAATGCATAATCTGCATTTGTACTCGTTTTTATTCATCTTTAATTTGTATTGTATGTAGTCATCAGTTTTTCTTTTAATCAATATGTAATCTTTTACAGCTTGTTTATTAAATATTTATTATAAATTACATATTTCTCAGTTTTAAAAAAAAATATGACTATTTTCGTATTCTCTAGATCAGCGGTTTTCAAAGTGTGAGGCGCGCCTCCCTGGGGGGGCGCCAGAGATGAGAAAAAAATAACGAGAACAAGATGAGTAAAGTGTCACTTGCACACTTTTGGCTGTCTGTGGAGACCGAGTTCCCCCACCTCGCCAAAAAGGTTGTAAAAGTGCTCATTCCCTTCACCTCCACCTACCTGTGTGAGTGCGGGTTTTCCGCATTGACTTTGATCAAAAGCAAGTACCGGTCAAGGCTGCAGCCAGAGGATGATCTGCGTTTATTCCTGTCTACATTGCATCCCCGCCAGAGTCCTGCACGGGTCTGATTTTCAAGACCCGCTCACGCCCCGCACCTGCAACGAGCAATACCGAACCCGCCCCACCACCCGCACATATTGCCAATTAGTTCCGCAAACCGACCCGACCCGTCGGCACAAGATCAGCAAACCGACCCGAACCCGCATATCCTAGGAGCACTGAAAACATGCAATTATTAACACACGCAGTTGCGTATTTGGCTCAAAAAGCGTGGGATGTTGGTTATTTTCTCCATCCAGGATGACACCAAAAGCCTCCTAGATGTTGGATTTCGCTCTTGAAGAGTTATTTACAATGCTGTATTCTCCGCTAGAGCTTCACCTCAGCCATTTCGAATGTGGCGCGCTCAGCAGCAGATTGATGCGGTGCAGAGGTTATGATTATGCGCGGTCCCGCGGGGAGAGGTCTGAGGAATCTTACCACCCGCGAATCACTTTTTTTGCGGGTCATCCGTCGGGTACCGACCCAATGCAGGACTCTGATCCCCGCAGGACTCTGATCCCCGCATCATCCACCTGTGCGCATCAAAGACGCAGACTCATTGTTCCCAGCACTAAAGTATGGGTGAGTGTAATAAGGAGGCAAAGTTGATGTTCAGTGTGTTGCCGGGAGCATATAAGGATTCATCCACGATGTTGAAAATGTAAAAAATGTTTAAAACAAATATTTAAAACAAAAAGATAAAAAGGTTTTAAAAAGTTATTTTTTAATGTTTTTAGGAGGTGATGCTACTCAGCCAATCAAATCGGTGCTGTCAGTGAGTCAGCACGATAGATTCAAACACACAGAGACGAGACAAGAAGAGAGAAACAGTTGGAGTAACTTCAAATGGCGTGCTCAAAAAAGAGAAAGGTAGACAGCGAAAACAGAGCATTTAATGACATTTGCTCTTACTGGACCTCTTTGAAATGCAATTGAATAACCCTGCATTATAGCAACAACAACAATAATAATAATAATAATAATAGCAATAATAATTGGGAGGGGGGGCGCGGCTGTTCTCATGTTCTCTGAGGGGAGGCTCACCTTCCCAGACTTTGAAAACCCCTGCTCTAGATGGAACCACGCTTTCGAAAACGGGACGGTATTCTTAACTTGAGAGACACTTTGGAAGCAACAAAGGTCAAGAAGTCTAACAAAGATATGCCGTGGATTCAACCTCTTTCCCCAGAGGAAGTGATGGACAAGGCCAGAACAGCCATAACAGCTCTACGCACAAACTGGCTCCAGTGTGAAGGGAGGGCACCGCCTGCCAACATACCGCTGTGCCAGAGGCTCTACTTCACTGGAGTCATTTCACCTGCACCTGAACCGGTTCATCCCAGGTAAATATGTGTTTCCCTTTTCTCATCCTATGGTTAGATTAATCACCATTGGATTGGAATAAATAACATTGTGTGCTGTGTTTTTATCTATACAAATGTTGAAATGATCTGAAATAAAAACATGATACATTTCAAAATGTACTTTACAGGTACTCTGGCAAGTGACACCTTTTTCCAAGTCTATCTTTTGGATGGACTGGCATGCTGGAATGAGGACCGGGCTATGGCAGCAACAAGGGATGAGCAGCAGCATCCACACTGCTACAATCATCTTCTTCGCCATGCTGTGAATACTCTGGCAGAGGAGGTTCAAGGGAAGAAGATCATCCCTTATGTGGCCACGAAAATACACTGGTAGATACATATTTTATTTGCTTGTAGTATACTAATAGCCTACCATTTTATCACTTGCATTATGTTTTCTGATTGATATGCAAATAACATATCATCTAAATACCAAGAGTAATTAGATTAAGTCATTTATATTTAAAATCATATTATATATATGATGGTGTATTATCTAATTGTATTTTTATTTGATTTTAAAGAGGAACTGATGGGTGTGGAGTACCTTTACCAGCAAACTGGTCAAGTTCTTCAGGACTACAAGCTGGCCATACAAGAGTCAGAGAACAGCGAGGTGGCAATAGAGGTTCATGAAGGTCATGCTGAACCTGAGGAGTTTCAGGACTTCACTGTCCCCACCTTCCACCTTCAAAGGTTACCTGCAGCCTCATCAAAAGCATCGTCCTCTTTATCTCCGTCTCCATCCACCAGCACCCTGTCCTCCCTGTCTGTGGTCCCTACATCGACAGTGTCACCTCCATCTACCAGCACCCAGTCCTCGCAACAATCCACCTCAGTCGATGTAAGGACCAATTTACCTTTCTTATGTTTATTTACATGCTTGTAACACAATCTGGGTTATGTCAGCTACAATTAATAGCATTTGTTGTTGCTATCAAATATGTTTTAATTATCTTTCATTTTAGGATTGTGTTGGCCCTGACAATATCGAGGGGTATGGAGCCGTCCAGGAGCTGGCAGAGTTTTTGTTTGGTCTCCGAGAACACCTACTGGCCTTAAGTGGAGACGAGTGCGCCAAAATAATCACTCTGACCTGAGCAGCTTCTTGTGGCAATGCAGAAAGGGACATCTCTGTATCCTGGCAGTTTGGCTGAGCCTCACACCTTTGTTCTGCCACCAAACACTGCTGGTGAGGCAAAGCTCCAGAACAGATCACAACCAGTGGCCATCTCACAGGCCCCACCACAAACCTCCATACTATGCTCTTCCCTTCCTTGCACCGACTCTGCAACTCTCAACACCATACATGGTACCATCTGTGCAGCTTCCTCAAGTGCCTGGACCCTCACAGGTTGTGCCTGGAAGCTCTCAGATTATGCTTCTCAACATGCCATTGCCATCAGCTACTCAGGCGCTAACATCCGGTCAGAGTAACGTGCCGTACACCACACAGCAGTACAGGAAAAGAAAAGAGGAGAGGGAGCAATCTGGATCAGGCAAAAGAAAATATGTCAAAAAGACAGATGCCATCATTTGCAAAAACTGCAACAAAGACAGGAAGCCACCAGCCCACTTACAGTTCTTTGGCAATTGGTACTGTAAAGAATCAGAGACCCAGTCCTATGAGGACTGGAGGACTGTGCTGGAGCAAAGAGGGTATGGGAAAAAAAAGAGAGGGGATGCACCTTAAAGGACCACATGCTGTGAGCAGGTGCAACTTTTTGCACTGTTTTTATTGTATAGCTTTATTTTACACTTTACAATACATATTGTAAGAATTGTTGTTATTATTACTGTTGTTTTAAATATATAAATACATATAAAACAAGTATGGATGTTTCTGTTTTGAATATTTCATCATCATATTTCACTTTCATTATTGTTATATTATACTTTGTTCTTAAGTTTTAATACATTTATTAAAAGTTGTAATTATAATAAATGCACAACATAACAATAATCCTCATACATATTTGTCATATTACTTATATTCTAAGTACTATTTTATGTTAAGTACATCTATAGAAGTACTGTACAGTGATGTACTGACTTGCATGCTCCTTAATACTGCACTACATTTGAGAGGCAAAGATTTGACTCTGAACCTCATTGATTTGATAACATGAGTTACTTTAAAGATTTAGATTCTGTTACAAAGTACAATAATATAAACAGACAATGAATCATGAATGATTATGGTGAAGAACTGAAATGATCCATTCATTTTATTCACAACCTACCCAAAAGTATGGTAAAATAATAAATAAGCTCCACCTTTACATTTATGCATGTTCTGACATACAAGGGATAGAGCGGGATTCGAAACCGGCTCGCAGGGCGTATTTCGGCTACTTTTCGGTTATCAAACATAGAGTAAAGCGCTATGTCTTTGGCGCACCTCACTATCCATTAGACCACCACTATCAAACCCAAAGATGAGTCCAAAATATGTCAATGCAAGGATAGAGCTTCTATCGCACAAAGAAAATGCCATTTATGTGTTCTTGGTGCATTTGGGAGCCTCTATAATGACATTCACTACCAATAGCCAATAGGTGGGGATATGCACAAAATGTACACAAAATAGTAACTGAATTTGTCATTTTTTTAATATCATCCCAACTCAAGTACATCAAACTTATACATCTATTAGTCATACATCCAAACAACTATGAAACATGTCAGCAGATTAAATTGTACATCTTTTTTGTCTCATGACAAAGGGCGAATACATCATTACCATTCACTTATTTGTCTGGACTTGGTCCACTCCTCCACAGACGTTTGGAAGTGAGCTGATATTCATGCCAATATCATGTTAATTTATGGAAACTAAATCAGGACACAAGAAATAACATTTAAAAAATGAAGGCACAGCCAAAGCAGTGGAGTCATCTTGACGTCAATGCTTTGGGTTTTTCTTTTCTTTTTTTGGAATGCATAATAGAGAGAATTCTTGTGGTTGGGAGAACAAACATAATAAATATTGTTAAAAACAATATTTATTGTTGCAAATTATAAAACTTACAAAGTGTGATTTCTTTCTTTTATAAATTGTATACAAAATCATTTAATTTTGCAGTCCAAACTAATTCATTGTTAGAGAATGAAAACGTAATAATGGTGAAATTAAAATCAGAATAATACTGTTAATTAACAAAAACTGCTGGCTTCGGTTGGAATATCAAGACTGTGTTAATTGTGCTTTATTGGGTGTGTTGGTGTAAATTAGTATCACAGTGTTCCACCCATTCTAGGTTTAGAAAATACATCTTCATCTTCAGCAATAATATCAATACTAATGTCTGCACTTAAATGATGTTACCCTACATTATAAAGCGGTTTTATCTGGGCATAATTAAAGGTAACATTACAGGCACACACTTCAAGTAATTTCAGGTATATCACAACTCTATGCATTATGAATACATTACACATTTGCATGTCCTTTAAAACATGTTAATAAAAACTGAGAACCAATAAAATGTCTTGAAACGTGATTGTGAAAGTCAGCATATGGGATGTAGCACTGAAAAACATTCCCCCTGTGTCAAATAATGTAGCAGGGGATGCTGTTTTGACATTAAAAAAAAGGAAAATGTCATGGTTCTTGCATATAGAATTCCATATTTTAACTTCTGAAATGTTGCTTTATATTATATTGTATTATGATTCTGATTTATACAAATTTACAAAAGATCTGAAATATATTTTGTGTTGTTAAAACAATAGTTTAAAGTAATCCATCTTCTATATGCTTTAAATAATTGAGGTATTTCCGAGTATGATTGTACAGGCATGTTTAAACTGCTACACTGGGTCTGCCATTTACTTCACATACAATTGCAACTCCAGCAATGTGTATATGTAGACCAACGCAACTGTCTAAATGTAGGAGAACATTTGTATTATTGCATTTCATATGGACTTTCCATGAACTGAAAAACATGTTCTTTGGAAACATGTGACAATGGTTTGGCACTGAACATAGTAAGCCACATGGCTGACTCAAAACATCACCTATCTTCTAATACAATAAAAATGGATAACTCAAATGCTAAAATGGGGTCGGTCAAGAATTCTGTGATTCCAAAAAACATGATAACAGTGAAACAATTAAGCAAATGAATCGCATACTGGCACAGACAACAACCTGAAGTATGAACAGAAAGGCACCAACAAAAATGTTTAAACACATGTGGTTCCGTGTTGATAGTCATCCTACAGTAGAACTTATTGAGATAATACTAAGCAGACACCTTACAGGGTAAATACCAGCTCATCAGAGAACATGGAGTCAACCTATCCTGACAGTCATGACTGCTGGAGACATGATTACTGTGACTGTGAACACAAACTGTGTACTGTATTTTAAAAATTAAACTTGAGTTTTGATGCTTTACATTGTTATGTAAAACATACTGCTTCTTTCTCATAGATGGCATGGCTTTCCTAATTCATTTAATGGGCAGCATATTGGTCTTGGTTATGTCAATGAATGTGAATTATTTGTACTGGCCAAGCATTATGCCAAGGATTTACCAATAACATTATGGCAAGTAATGTATTAAGAGCAACTAGGAACCAATCTAAAATATTTTTTATATCTTATTCTCAACAAGATCATCTCAACCTCCCAAAGCTGTGTGTTAAGATCCGAGCAAAGATGGTGTGTCATGGTGCCAGAGTGCTATATATATATATATATATATATATATATATATATATATATATATATATATATATATATATGTGTGTATATATATATTTATACACACACACAATTATACATATTCACATTCATACATACCTTTGCTTTTGTCCACTCTAAAGCAGCTAGAAGGAAACTTATTGCATTGAACCAATGCATGTAAAGACACAATACCACACTACTGTTGTGCCTTTCAGTCTTTTTACATTTTGCTCCTAAACTTATTGAGATTTTAAGGCTCCATTTTCACTATGAAAATAACACAACTTGTTAACATAATTTACATAATTATCTATTAAAGGTGGGGTAGGTAAGTTTGAGAAACCGGCTCGAGATCGCTAGAATTTGAAAATACACAACCGGAGAAAATCTGCCACTTCCTTACAGAGCCCCTCCTCCAACACACACGAACGCGCACATGACCAATGAGGGCACGAGATAAGTTTGTGCACAGATGGAAGGCTGACAGGCAGGTAGGCCATCCAGTTATTTTAGCCGGGCCGGCTAAAATGATTGGTCGTACTTTTTACAGTACTACGGCTTCCACAGATGATATTTTTTTATGGATTTGTTGTCAAAGCACTTAAGATATTCATTGCTATCGGGATGTTAAGAGCATTCCATGGAATATAACAAAAAGTGTATCTCGAGCCGGTTTCTCAAACTTACCTACCCCACCTTTAACTACCTGATTTTTTGTCAAACAGAATCACTTTGGAACAGCTCATTGTGCAAGAGAGTGAAGCACTCTTATCTTCAAACTGCACACATATAACTTTTTTCTCACAAACACATATCTGAAAGTGTACACCTGTCATAAGAAGAAAGGATCATAAGGCCGTCTCCTGAACCATATGAGTGGTCAGCTGACATGAGGGCAGAGCCATCCTTATTTCCAAGTCTTCCTGCTCTGTTTGTGCTCTGTCACTCTCCGTCTCTTTGTCCTCTGTCACTGTATCCTCTTTGCATTGAGCTGCTTTGTTGCCATCTTTCTTGGCCCTCTGATAAGGCAAGGTCTTTGTTTCTTTGGCCTGACCAACAATGATTAAGCATTATTAAAAGTACAGCTTACAGTTAACAAACAGAGAAAACACTTGTGAGTGTAAATGTGAGGTTACCTTATGTGGATTGGGCAGAGGAGTTACACAGCAAAGCTTTTCTCTGTAGCGTTCAGGCAGGAAGAAGAGCAGTGTGCCCATCACTGGAAACACTGTGCCAGGCATCAGATCCTTCTCCTTCATAGGGCCTAAAGTTTTAGAGAAACACCAGTATAGTAATGATGAGGTATTCAAACTAGGGCTGTCAGTCGATTAAAATATTTAATCGCGATTAATCGCATGATTGTCCATAGTTAATCGCGATTAATCGCAAATTAATCGCACATTTTTTATCTGTTCTAAATGTACCTTAGAGGGATATTTTTCAAGTTTTTAATACTCTTATCAACATATGAGTGGACAAATATGCTTTATATGTTTGTTTATTATCATTTGAACAATGACAAATATTCTCATGAATATTAAACACAACAACCTGAACATTACAAATATTCGCCTCAATTCAACCTGGAACCTCTCTCATACAATAATACTGTGTGTGTGTGTGTGTGTGTGTGTGTGTGTGTGTGTGTGTGTGTGTGTGTGTGTGTGTGTGTGTGTGTGTGTTTTGGAGCTATGTGCCGCTCAAGGCATATATGCTCGAACGTGTGCTGCCTGGACGCTGCAATCATGTAGCGCGTACTATCCGTGCTGAGTGAGCTGACTTTTCGTACAATGTCCCACTGTCTGGCTGCAGACTGCATAAAGTCAAGTGCTCGGCGCAGTTGTCGGCGAAATGTCCTTGAAACAGCTCCTTAGCGCAGCTAGCTAGCACCAGATGCTAACAACACGTAAGGTGTGCCTCGCTCGCGCGAGTCGCGCCACACATACACACTCCCTCCCGGTCCTCCCGATGGCCAGTCCGGGGCTGCCGGTGAGCGTGGAAGTGTGGTCTGCCACAAGCGGGCAGCAGGAGCGGGGCTGTCAGCATCAGCTTGTAGATGGTATTTTAAACTCGATGCGCTCTGAAACTACGGGGCGGCGAGGACAAAAAATACACATGCGTTAATCACGTTAAAATAATTAGTGGCGTTAATTTTTTTTTGCGTTAACGCGTTATTAACGCGTTAACTTGACAGCCCTAATTCAAACAAAGGGCCAATTTATTTGAGAGAATGCTGCAAAGTGACACAATTAACATGACATGGCCTCTGACATATAAATAAAAACCAAAGGCTTAATTAGAAGCACACAGTGCAACTACCTGTATGCTTGATCTGGGACAACGTCAGTGTTTCAGAACTTGCCTGACAATCCTCCAACTTTTAAGATTTATTTTGTAAAAAAGTGATATAGCAAGAATTGTTACATCCATAGTTACAACAACTAAGTAAACTTAACTCTGAATAATTCATTCCACAAACGTAATTTCCTAAATTGTAAAGGAACACATTCCGACACAATGTTTCCATGGCAACATTTTCACTCCTGTTTCTAATACAAGTTCAATGTTCACACAAAAATGTGTCAGATCTTCCAAGTTGCACAATTGGGACCCAAAAAATGTATTGAAATTTGGTCTGTGGTCATTATTCAATTTTATATTTTTGAGTTAAGCACTAAATTAAAAAGGTAAGAAAAAGCTAATTGTTTTTTCTTTTTATTCTCAATTGAAAAGATCACAAATGCACTGCCATTAAATGTATACTCTACACTGTTAGATACATCAAACTGCTAACACCTTCAGTCATTTACTTATGACTGTGGCTTTCGGCCAGGTGAGGATGTTGTCAGGTGTCCAATGTGTCCCCATTGGTCATGAAATCCCACCCGCTCGTTTTAAGACAGTTCTTTTAAGTTGCGGACACATCAATATAAATATATATAATATATATATATATATATATAAAAGACAAGTGGATTTTGCATAATAGGGGACCTTTAAGATGTGAGTCTTTTTATACAGTACAGTGTTACTTGATTGTAGGACTGTGCATCTTCACTGGTCTCACGATTAGATTACGATTATTCTGTCAACGATTCGATTCGATATCACGATGCATAACAATGCATAACAATGCGTTGCATCATACATTTTCTATATTACTGCACATGGCTACTTGTTCATCAATGAATACATGCAGTCAAACAAATATTAACTACATATTTTCATTATTTAGAAAGTGCATCGGAAAACAATAACATAAATGTCTTGAAATGAAATGGTAAACCAAAATAAATAAATTGTATTTTGAATTGTTCCATCCTCAAAAACAAAACAAATACTTCTGCAGTCTAGCTGCAGCTTCCAGCAACTGTCTTCAGCTCAAAAAAAGGACACTGAATGTCCTGAATGTGGCATCACAAACATGACTGGAGTCTGAAAACAGACTTACGTTCCTCTGTCTTACTGTTACATCCAGTGAATCTATGAGATTAAGTCAGCCTCATCACATCTCATCAATCAGAGATCAACATTTTTTAGTGAATAATAACGTTTTTTTTAATTATTTCAAGCACTTTTTAAGTATTTATAATTTGAATTCAGCAATATGTTATTAGTCTGAATGCCAAAACTTTGAAAACTATTTTATTCAGGGAGGGTGGGGCGGTGAGGAAACAGTGATCACTGAGGTTTTGTTCCTGCCTTCACAAACTTTACACAAGTATTTATCGTCTGAATATAGCGATAAGACGTTCATACTCTGCAATCCACATGACAGTAACGCATGTAACGCATGTTTTTCTAAGAAACAACTCTGTGCACAGCCGCAGCGACATGGACTGATTCAGAGTGGGTCATTCTGCCTGTTGGTTCTGGACTGATTCGGAGCGGGTCATTCTGCTGTTGGTTCTGGACGGATTCAGAGCGGGTCATTCTGCTGTTGGTGCTGGACGGATTCAGAGTGGGTCATTCTGCCTGTTGGTTCTGGACTGATTCGGAGCGGGTCATTCTGCTGTTGGTTCTCGACGGATTCAGAGCGGGTCATTCTGCTGTTGGTTCTGGACTGATTCAGAGTGGGTCATTCTGCCTGTTGGTTCTGGACTGATTCAGAGCAGGTCATTCTGCTGTTGGTTCTGGACGGATTCAGAGCGGGTCATTCTGCTGTTGGTGCTGGACTGATTCAGAGTGGGTCATTCTGCCTGTTGGTTCTGGACTGATTCGGAGCGGGTCATTCTGCTGTTGGTTCTGGACGGATTCAGAGCGGGTCATTCTGCTGTTGGTGCCAGACTGATTCAGAGTGGGTCATTCTGCCTGTTGGTTCTGGACTGATTCAGAGCGGGTCATTCTGCTGTTGGTTGGTTCTGGACGGATTCAGAGTGGGTCATTCTGCTGTTGGTGCTGGACTGATTCAGTGGGTCATTCTGCTGTTGGTGCTGGACTGATTCAGAGTGGGTCATTCTGCCTGTTGGTTCTGGACTGATTCAGAGCGGGTCATTCTGCTGTTGGTTCTGTTGTGCACCGACAGAAATGCTAGAGAGATGCATGTTATTTACGTTTGCTTTCTCTCATTCCAGGCTTCCTGATTATTTTCACCTGTGTCTCCTGTGCTCATCAATGTCAGCCCCGCCCCTGATTGGTCCCACCTGTGTCTAGTTACCCTGTGCTTATATTCCCCTGTCTCCCAAGTGTTCTTTGTCAGTTCGTATTGTCTCTTGCTATGGTCAGGTCTATGCTCTTTGTACTCTTGTAAAGTTTGATTCCTCACTACGTGAGCGCTTTCATTTTGTTCCTCTATTTTTGTCATCTCGGTTAGAGATTTGATAGTTACCTTTTTTGTTGTTCATTGCTGTATTTTGGAAAATAAAGTATCTTACTAATACTTTACCTCTGTCTCCCGGGTCGTGCAATTGGGTCCTACATCCTAAGTGTCTGAGTTCGTAACAGAACGAACTGACCATTATGGACCCAGCCGACCCAAGAACGCTTCACGCAGCGCTGTCAGCACAGGGCGTGAAGATCTTTCATCACGAGGAACAGCTGGGCCTAGTCAACCAGGAAATGCAAGAACTAAGAGGACGCCAGGCCGGGATTCAGGAAGCATTATCCACACAGATGCAACAACTGGCTGTCCAAATGAATCATTTTTTCACTCACCAACAGACTGCTCCTCCGGTGACGTCATCCACAACTGAGAGGTTGCCTGTCAATGCTCCAGCTGATTTCCCAAGTCAGGCTGTTTCTTCCCCTTTACGGCTGGCTCTTCCGGAGAGATTTTCCGGAGATTCTTCTAATTGCAGAGCCTTTTTGGTACAGTGCGATCTGCATTTTCAACACAACCCAGGAGCCTTTTCATCGGACCATGGTAAAGTGGCGTTTATTGTGTCTCATTTAACGGGAAGAGCTGCAGCCTGGGCTGCTGCAGCCTGGGCTACTGCAGAATGGTCAAGAGAAACTGAACTATGTTACTCATTGACCAATTTCATAGAGACTATGAGTCGTATTTTTGACCACTCATCGCCTGCTACAGAGGCCAGCAGAAAACTTTTTCATATACGCCAGCTCAACCGCCAGGTGGTTGATTACGCCATCGAGTTTCGCACAGCAGCAGCGGACAGCGGATGGAATGTTCCGGCTCTTCGTGACGCCTTCATGACGGGACTTTCGGAACCGATAAAAGACCAGCTGGCTCCACTGGAGACACCCCGGGATCTGGAATCTCTCATCGCCGTGGCCATCCGGATCGATAACCGTCTTCGGGAAAGAGAGAGGGAGCGTCGACGCAACCGAGACGTTATTCCCAGCTCCCAGAATGCATCTTGGTGGGTCGCGCCGCCAGCCGAGGATGTCCAGCCCATGTTACCACACCGTCAGAGGATTACACTTCCGAATGACTCCGGGGAACCCATGCAGCTGGGAAGAACCAGGCTTTCTCTGGAGGAGAGGCAGCGCCGTCTACGGGAGGGTTGTTGTTTCTACTGCGGCCAGTCGGATCATCAACTCGCTTCATGCCCGGGAAAAGATCGTGCTCACCAGTCAAAAGGAGGGCGCTGGTGAGCAAGTTTCCCGCAGACTTTCCTCCTCGACCTGTTACGCAGGTAAACATTTGTATTAACAATCAAACCATTGACCAGGGTGTGTTAATAGACTCAGGGGCTGACGAAAGTCTTATGGACTGGGGCGTAGTAAATCAGCTAGAAATAAAGACTGTTCCGCTATCTCATCCTATTAATGCCAGTGCCTTAGACGGCCGCTTGTTGTTCACAG